GGGCCAGGCAGGTGCTGTGTGTTCGGCCCCACCCTCTTACGCCTGACCTATTCAAGCAGCCCTGAGTGGATTTTCCCACCTTCTGCCCTGTGAACCTTCACCCATATGATGCTTTCTTGGCTGTTGTGTGAGCCTTGCAGCATGATTCAGAGTCTTTGTGTTGTCGTTTAAAATAGGCGGTGCATACAGGACTTTATCCCAGCTCGGGAGGTGGAGGCAGGTGGATCTCTGAGTTTGAGTCCAGTCGGGTCCTAAGGCATAACAAATAGACCTTAGTGAAGCTAAACAAGCTAACAGGCTATTAAATTCTAGATAAACGGGCTGGAAGCCAGGTCAGGGGTTAAGAGCACTGGCTGCTCTTGCCAAGGACCTACCTGGGTTTCCAGCACCCACAGGTGTCTGTAGTTCCCAGTCCTGGAGATGCGACGCCCTCTTGTGGCCTCCACAGGAACCATGTTGAAGTGGCACACACACACACACACACACACACATCCAAATGGAATAAAAATTATAAAGATAGCTCTTTAAATACTAGCTAGTCTACAGAGGCGAAAGCCTGGCCGCTGCCTCCTCCTCAGGGAGTGCGAGTGGCTAGGCATGGCCAGTGTATGGAGGACACTTTCTCCGTCCAGCCCACAAAACCAAGACAACAAGAGTCCTGCTGTCCTTGTGGTTCTCTGTGCAGCTGGATCCGTCACATCACATTTAGTGTCCTTGTGACCCACTGGGTAGAAGAACCTAGTAGTGGCTATTGAGGACACTGAGAGACTCGGGAGCGACAGGTCCAGAAAGCCAAGGTGACCCTGTGTCTTGGGTAGGGCTCCATTGATGTGAAGAGACACCATGACCACATTTCTCTGGAATGGCTGCTTCCGGTTCAGAGGCGCAGTTCAGCATCATGGCGGGACATGGTAGCGTGCAGGCAGACGTGGTGCTGGAGAAGTAGCCAAGCATCCTACATCTTGACTTGCAGGCAACAGAAGTGGTCTGAAACACTGGGCACGAATCCAGCATGAGACCTCAGAGCTCACTTCTCAGTGATCCGCACCCCCCAACAACACCTCCTACTAGTGCCACTTCCTCGGGGAGCCATTTTTTCCCAAGCCACCACACACTGGGGCTGATTCTGCAGTGGGGAAGCCGGTGGTCTGCTGGCCCTCAGGCCTGCTCTCTTCCCTGGTGGGGTCTCCATTCATCTTCACCATTCCAGGAAAAAAGGCTTGGGGACCGACAACTGTGAGGGTCTTCGCTGAGTGAGCAGAGCATGCACACAGCATCACGTAAACCAGGCCTGGTGGTGCACGTCTGCCACGCAAGCACTGGGGGGTGGGGCTGGAGGTGGGAAATCAGGAGTTCAATGTCACCTGAGGCCAACCTGAGCTACAAGAGGTCAAAAAAAAAAAAAAAAAAAAAAAGGCCGGGTGGTGGGGATACACACCTTTAATCCCAGTACTTGGTAAGCAGAGGCAGGCAGATCTCTGTGAGTTCAAGGCCAGCCTGGGCTACAAGAGCAAGTTCCAGGACAGGCTTTTTTGTTTGTTTGTTTTTGTTTTCCAGGCTTTGGAGCCTGTCCTGGAACTAGTTCTGTAGACCAGGCTGGTCTCGAACTCACAGAGATCTGCCTGCCTCTGCCTCCTGAGTGCTGGGATTAAAGGCGTGCGCCACCATCGCCCGGCTTCCAGGACAGGCTTTAAAGCTACAGAAAAATCCTGTCTCGAAAAACCACACACAAAAAAGAAAGAAATGGGAAAGATGGCCCCCTTTTTTTTGTTTGTTCGTTTGTTTTTTGAGACAGGGTTTCTCTGTAGCTTTGGAGCCTGTCCTGGAACTCACTCTGTAGACCAGGCTGGCCTCGAACTAACAGAGATCCGCCTGCCTCTGCCTCCCAAGTGCTGGGATTAAAGGCAGGCTACTTTTTTTTGGGGGGGGTTAAATTCTTTCACCCTCTTCTCATCCAGAAATGGGGATCCATTTATCTTGAGTACAATCAATACAGCTCATCTTCGGTGTGTAGCGTGTGAGGATAGCTCCTACGAGAGAGATAGACACGGCTTCCTTCTTTTGCGGGAAAATTTGTCCCATTATTAACTATTATTATTAGTCAGAGATTCATGTAGCCCAGGCTGGTCTTCTACTCCCTATGTAGCCGGAGATGATCCTGCTCTCCCAGGGCCTGTGCCCAGGGTGCCGGGTGAATGCCTGCATAGTGGTCTTTATCCTCATTCTCGATTGTGTTTCTCATTTATTTATTATGTATACAATAGTTTGTCTATATGTATGCCTGCAGGCTAGAAGAGGGCAACAGACCTACGAGTCACCATGTGGTTGCTGGGAATTGAACTCAGGACCTTTGGAGGAGAAGGCTGAGCCATCTCTCCAGCCCCCTTGGTTATGTTTCTGACACAAAGTTCCTCCCTCCCTCCCTCCCTCCCTCCGTTTTGAGACAGGGTTTCACTCTGTTACAGTCCTGGCTGTCCTGGAACTCACAGAGATCCGCCTGCCTCTGCCTCCCAAATGCTGGGATTAAAGGCGTGCGCCACCACAGCCTGGCTCAGGGTTCATTCTTTAGCCCAGACTGACACAAATTTGTGGGTGATCCTCCTGCCTCCCAGCCTCCTGTACTGGACAGAATCAATGGGTCCAGTTCCAAGCCTGCACAAATTCCGGGAAGAGGGTTGCACACATGACCACTGGGGGGCAGCAGAGAATTGCGATGATTTTAGCGCTTGCGCGTGCACGCGCATGAATGTGTGCGTGCGTGTTTGTACCCGTCAACGCAGGTGTTTTTCTCACTTTCCCACGCCGTGCAGAATTGCACCCGGTCCGGCAGACCCCGGATCCCCCGTGCGCTCCCATCCCGCAGCTGTGCAGGGACCAAACTACAGGCCTGGGATCATACAGTCCCGCCCTCTAGCTTCTTGTCAGGGTCTCCCACTGACTCCCCAGTGCTGCTTCCGTGGGGGTTCTGGGGATTCGAACCCAACGGCCTGCGCTTGCACGCAGAGGCCTCTCCCAGGTCTCTGGGCGACATCTCTAGGCGCTGTAGTTGACCGCACCAGGATTGCTCCGTGTCTAACTGGACTCCCTGATTCCGTGGAGAGCTTCCTGGACCCAAAAATCCCCCAGGACGAGAGTGTACTGTTCAAGGGAGATAAGGGAGCTTCGGATCAGTTCGGAATATTAGGGTTTGGAATCTGAGGGGGAATGAATGGTGAGTTGGGCCGCTGCAGCAAGATGCACACACCCTCCGTGCAATCCTGCCTCTCCATCACATGTTTACTGAACTAGCTCTGCCGGGATCTTGGTGAAGGCTTGATAAGGAAACCTAGCCCCCTAGCCCGGGACCTGAGAGTGGAGGGCTGGAATGGTGCAGGTTCATAGTCAAATTATCCCTTCGCGGCCTTTCATTCCTTGCCCGTGTGTCACTGACAGCCTTGTGTTGATGAGGCGAGCTTTTGGAGAAGCAGAATAGGCCCTGGCTTCTGCCAGTCCCAATGCGAAGAATGATGTCATCGCAGGCCCACAGCAGCAGAGGTTCACAGCGATGTCCCCGAGAAGCACTTGACTGTGACAACCCTACCCTGTTACTATTGACACTTCAGCTCACCTGTGGAAACCTGTGTCCCTGAGTCACGGTCACATGCCACTCCAGGAAAACTCTTCTGCCCTGTGAGGCGAGAGCCAAGTTTCTTCACATTGTCCAACCCCAAATGCCCAGAATCTGGCTACAGCCTCCAGAACTTAAACACGATTGACGGTTGCATGGACAGAATAGTAATTATTGAGATAGGGGTTCATGTGGCCCAGAATGGCCTCAAACTCAGTATGTAGCTGAGGCCCGTACTCTGCCTCCTGCTGGGATGACAGGCATGTGTTAGCACACTCAGCTCAGGTGCTTGGGGTATCCATCGGGGCTTGGTGCATGCTAGACACCACTCACGGGGTCCAGCCTCGGCTCACAGACAGCTGTGGGTTTACAGAGCCATCGAGAACTGAGAGAGCCTAAGTCCATGTGGCCTTTCCCCTCCCTCCACCCCCTCAAGACACCCGCAGTTTCTCAGCTTCCCACCAGAAAGACATCTACGGCGTGTGCGTGACATCGGCTGGAGACCCACGTCTGAGTGATTGGGTCCCAGCTGGTGAGCTGTTTGGGAAGGATTAGGTGTGGCCTTGTTGGAGGGTACGTCTTTGAGATTTCAAAGGGTCTCTCTGCCTGCTGCTGGCAGGTCAGGATGTAGCTCTTGGCTGCTCTCCAGCGCCGTGGTAATCATGGACTAAGCCTCTGACACTGTAAGCAAACCCTCAGCTGCTTTCCTTTGGAAGAGTTGCCTTGGAGCCAGGTGGTGGTGGCGCACGCCTTTAACCCTGGCACTCAGGAGGCAGGGGCAGGTAGATCTCTGAGTTCAAAGCCAGACTGGTCTGCATAGCAAGTTCCAGAACAGCCTGGGTTACACAGAGAAACCCTATCACAAAAACAAAAAAACCCCGCCGGTTGTGGTGGCGCAGGCCAGTAGGATTTGCTGCAGGAGGCAGAGGCAGGAGGGTCAGGAGTTCAAGGCCAGCCTGGGCTATACATTTAAAAAAACAAAAACAAACAAACAAACAAACAAAAACCAAAACCAGAAAGAAATGAGTTGCCTTGGTCCTGATGTCTCTTCATAACAACAGAACAGTGACAGAGGCATCTCCGAAGTCCCATGTACAAGCCTGGGGACTCCTGACTTCTTTCTTCTCTTTTTTTCAAGATTTTTTTTTTTTAATTTTCGAGACAGGGTTTCTCTGTAGCTTTTGGTTCCTGTCCTGGAACTAGCTCTTGTAGACCAGGCTGGCCTCGAACTCACAGATATCCGCCTGCCTCTGCCTCCTGAGTGCTGGGATTAAAGGCGTGTGCCACCACCGCCCGGCACAAGTTTGTTTTTGATATATAAAGACGGCTGGGGGTGTGGTTAGGGGGTGGAGCACTGGGTTGCCAGGGATACTGTCTGGTCACTATTGTTAATAGTTTATTGGGGCAGGAGACAATATGTACATACATGGAGGTCAGAGGTCCCTCCCTGCAGCCCCTATGTGTTTGGCTGTCTCTCAACGTCTGTCTATCTTGCCTGGCTTGGGAGTCCCCCTGGCTGGTCCTTCACCTTCCTGGAGCGCAGGCACTGTCTCAGTCTGTCCCACAGCCAGAAACAGTTGCAGATCTTAAAGCAGCCATGGAACAGCCAGGACCAGAAGTTCTTGAAGCGCTGGCCCCTCTCAGTGCTCAGCTCCTTGGGGATGGCGTAGGCTAGCCATATGCTCAGTAGCGTTGTAACCACCAGCAGCATGATGCTGAGCACCGGCTGGAACATCGCCATGGGTAAGGCCCCGTACACGTACACGCTGAATATGGTGTTTAGGCTGCAGTAGCTGCAGGGAACAGTGGGCATAGACTGTCCTGGGTCCCCACTCCTGTTCACAAGGCCAGCTTTCTCTTGTGCATGGGTACTAAGATATGTTTTTCTGTTTGGAGGAAAGGGGACTAAGGACAATTACATCACCATTTAAAAGAAAAAACATGATGACAGGACAGCTGAACTTCGGCTGCTGCCAGACAGTGAGAGAGCCTGGTGAGGTCAGGGGCGTGGAGGACCAACAGCCTCAGCGAGGGGAGGGAGGAGTCTGGAGTGAAAGCCTGCAGCCCAGCAAGTGTCCAGGAAGCCAGGCGGATGAACCGCCACCCTTATGCGGCCACAGCCCACAGTTGACCGTGATCTTCTGTACCCCAGGCTGGCCTCAAACTAGTTCTGTAGCCAAAGATGGCCTTGAACTCTTGATCCTTCTGTGTCTGTCCATCTCCCCATTGCTGGGGTGACAGACACACACTACCATCCCCAGAATCTGCCAGATCGCTCTGTCGTCAAACCTGTGTGTCACCTCTCCTTGACACCCCCCCAGCCACAGTGTCCCCTCCGCTCACCTGTAGTATGGATCCACCACCGTGAGAAGAAAGATGTAGATTCCATTTCTTTGACCAAAAATAACCTTATTGTCTGTCCGGCCACCTAAGATCTGATACTCGACCTCTGGCCACAGCAGGGGCTTGTCATCGTTGTTGTCGTGACAGCTGACATAGTTCTGGGGCAAGGAGAGAAGGATGCAGGATGCCATTCCGGATGATGCTGGCCCTCGGTCCTCCTAACCCTCCCAACCTCCTACTTCACCCTTCCTGGGACTCCTGGCAAGATACGGCCTAGACTGCCTTCCAACTTGCTTTGTAGTGGGTCCATCAGCCTCCAGCTCCGCAGTGATGGGGTGGCCGGCAGACACCAGCACTGCGTGGGCGGGATCCTGCCTACCTCTCTGTTCCAGAGGGATGGATGACCTGTGTGCTTGTCCCACTGTGCCCGAATGGCGCTCCAGTTCTGAGGCTGTGACCGGCAGTTGGCAGTGGCGGCCGTCAGGGAGTATGAATAGGTCATTATCCCATTGACCTCACTGATCACATACTCAGCGTTCATTATTTCTTCTAGATCCTCATCCTTCCACCTGAGACACAAGTTGAGGCAGCGGGGTTCCACGCCCCGATGGAAGGTGTGGGAAAAGAATGGGAGAGAAGTAGAGGGAGGGGATCCAGCCACTAGAAATGAGGGCCCTTCCTAAAAAGGGATAAGCTTGTGATGTTGTGTGTTTGGGTTTTGTTTATTGTTTCTGTAGCCCAGACTGGCCTTGAATTCCTGATCCCTGTCTCCACCTCTGCACTGCTGGGGTGACAGGTTCATGGGGTGCTGGGAACGGGATCTGGGGCTTTGTGAAGCCAAGCGAGCACTCTACCACTTGGCCCCAGAAAACAGAACTCCTGCACCCTATCCATCCCTGAAAGGTTTTGGATGATGTCTGTGGATACCTCCCCAAATCTTAGGTCTGCACCTAAGGTCGGAAGCACCCTGACATCTGAGGGCTGTGTCATCTGAATATTGAGCCAAGCTTCTCTTTTTAGGCTTGACTTTGCCTTGGCAGTTGAGGATCAAAACCATCTGGACACACAGACATGGAACCAACCTTGACAGGCAGGGCTAGGCTCTGAGGGGAAGAAGAGCCCCGGCCTCAGGAACACTGCTCCCTGAGTGGCCCAGTGTAGGAGCAGGTGCACAGCGTCGCGGTTGCTGTGGAGAAGCCTGGTCATCCACACCCAGGGTCACCGCACTTGGGGAGGTAAAGCATGGGGGGATGTTTGTGGCCAGCCTGCGCTATAGGGGACACTGTCTGGAAGCCATCTAAGCGGCACAAGCACAGTCATGTTCCAAAGAGAGCCTGTGGTGACATTGGTCCCCAGAGCCTCCAGAGATTTCAGGGGTGACTGCTTCCAGGGACTGCAGAAGCTCCCGTTCCACAAGAACTGCTCAAAAGTCCGCCCACATTCAACCTTCTGAGTGCTGGGATTAAAGATGTACCATCACCACCCAACTCAAGATAATCTCTTTAGGACAGTCTTGCTGTGTAGGCCAGACTAGCCTTAAACTCACAATCCTCTGCCTCAGCTTCCTGAATGCGAGGATCATAGGTGTGTGTGACTGCACCTGTCTCTGAGTGTCGCTAATCTCTATCTAGCTGTGCCTCCAATTATCATATATGCTGACAAACTCCTGCTCATCCTTCAAAACCCCACAACCACTCATAGAAACACAGACCTTGCTTCGGGCTAGGACAGAGTTGGGAGAGCATAGGCTGCACAGATAGGGTCAGAAGGAGACGATGTAATTGGGTCTGATGGCACAAGAGATGCCAGCACTTGGAGGGTTGCAGCAGGAATACGCAGAGCCCAAAGCCAGCCTCAGCTACATCGTGGGTTAGAGGCTGGCATGATATGAACCATAAAAGGAGGAGTCAGAAGGCTGCTGTGTACACCCGCTGTGTACACCCGCTGTGTACACCCGCCAAGTCAAGCCAAGGCCGTGGCAATAGAGGCCTTTCTCACACGGAGAACTGGGCCAAGATTCCTTAGCTTTGGGCTCCATAGCTGGGGCTGAATGGGACGGGGTGGGTGGGGCAGGAGGGATGGCTGGGGGTGGGGTGCTGGCGCAGCCTGGGGCCTCCTTACAGTTCCACCACGGGCTTCCACGGCTTGTCGTAGTAGACCAGGCGAGGGCAGCCCAGCTCCTTGTACTGGTAGTACACGAGCAGGTCAGCCTGGGCCTCCGCCTCGTGGCTCACTGGTTTGTACGCTTCCCTTTAGAAAAACAAGGACGTGGTGACTGAAGCCCACACCGCTGCCCCACTACTGTTTTGTTCTTTGTTTGTTTGTTTTAAAAAAGGGTTTCTCTGTAGCTTTGGAGCCTGGCCTGGAACTCATTCTGTAGACCAGGCTGGCCTCAAACTCACAGAGATTCACCTGCCTCTGCCTGCCTAGTGCTACCACCGCCACCACTGCCCCGCCTTTTGTTTTTACATCACAGGTCCCGGGATCTGAACTCAGGTCCTGGAAGCTGCAGTCTTTGCTGGGTCCTCCCATGCCAGGACTGACATACAAAGGTCTTTTCCTCAGGTTTACATTTATGTGTTTCTGTACACGGTGTATGTGTGTGAGAATGTGTCTATCTGTGTGTACCCGTGTGTGTGTGCCCATGTGTGTGCCCGTGTGTGTACCTGTGTGTGTGCCCATGTGTGTGTGCCCGTGTGTGCCTGTGTGTGTGCCCATGTGTGTATGCCTGTATGTGTGCCCATGTGTATGCCTATGTGTGTGCCTGTGTATGTGTGTGCCTGTGTGTGCCCATGTGTGTGCCCATGTGTTGCATTTTAAGCCAAGCTCAAGAGTCTCCTGAGAGGGGCCCCAGCCAATAGCTGACAGCTACACAGAGGCCCAGACTGAAGCAGTGAGGGGACACAGTGGGGCCACCTAGCACATGGGACCTACACGCTGAAAGGAAGAGAGTAACACCCAAATTGTCCTCTTCCTGTCACATGCCACACTGAATAAAGAAGCATCATCTGGACAGTGTTTCTCTCTCCCAAGTCCCTCAGTTGGCTCTGGACCACCAGTGGCTACTAAAATCCACAGACGTGTAAGCCCCATGTCAGCAATGGTGTGTGGGGACTTATGGTCTATATCTGCCCTTCTGGTGGGTCAGGAGAAGCCCCACCTGGAACCCCAGTGAGAGATGGGGGAGGGGCTCAGGTTAGCACCTAGACTATGTCCTCTCCTCTAGGGCCTCAGTCACAAACCTCCGTTGTCTATAAACTGCTAAGGCGGAGTGAGTGTGGGACTGCATCAGAGAAACACTCCCGAATGACAGCCCACCCCAGGCACTTGCCGCTCCTGGGCAGCTGGGCGGTGGTGGTGCACACCCACCCACTCCCAGGCAGTGGTAGGCGGATCTCTGAGTTCAAGGCCAGCCTGGTCTACAAAGTGAGTTCCAGGACGGGCTCCAAAGCTGCGCAGAGAAACCCTGTTTCGAAAAACCAAAAATAAATAAATAAATAGAAACAAACCAAGCAAGCTATGAGGAGCAAGCCTGTAAACAGCGGTCCTCCATGGCCTCTGCATCATCTCCTCCTTGGGTTGCTTTTGGTCACAATGTCTTATCATAGCAACACATAGCTAATGAGACAACTTACCGTCAGTGCTAAGGCCTGGCTCTGACTCAAAGTATCACATTAAACAAAGGAGAGGCTTCCTGATGGGTTTCAGTGCCTGGCACAATGTGCGGGCTCCCTACACCGCTGCATCCCACTAGCTCCTGGGACTGCACGGTTGCCCTTGGCCAGGCCCCAGTTTTAAATCACTCTTCCTCATTCCTGGGGGTCTCTGTTCCCAGAGTGTGAAGGAACGAGAGGTGGGCAACACCCCACTTACTTCTCAATGATGTAAGTGTAGTTGTCCTGCAGCTCCACCGGGTCGAGGATTCCCATGGAGCAAGCAGAGATTTTGCTGTAATGGAGAGAACTGGGTGAAGGGGAGGGGCGGGGCGGGCATGGGGGAACGGACACAAGAACTGGAGGGGGACGGTGGGGCACTGGCCCCAGCTGTGGAGGTGGAGGGTGGGGGCCTGCAGTCACCTTAGGGAGGGTTCCAAATCCTTCCTTAGAAATTAAAACCTGTGGCTGCAGAGATGGCTCGCGTGGGGGAGGGGCTCCCAGCTGTGTGTACTGCCAGCCCCAGGGGATCTGAGGCTTCTGGACTCTGAGAGAACTTGTACCCCCACACTCACTCACACACACCAATACTCACCTCCCATTCACACGCACACCAACTCTCCTCACACACACACGCTTGCTTACACACCCACTCACTCTCAGACACACAGAGTAAAAACAGTCTAACACAAGAAAGAGCAGATCTTCATAGGAAGGTCACGGTATCCCCTCATCAACAAGCTCAGGTCATGCACACTAGTGTCCCAGAGCACAGCATGGCCACCTCCGCATACCACTAGCCAACCTCTTCCTGGCTCAGGATGGACGGCTACTCCCAGGGATTTGCGGTTTTCAGTGTTTTAATTTGTAGCACAACTGTCAATTATATGCAGAACTTTGATGCTAATATTTAAATTTAACATTTAATAACATAGTCTAAATTCAATATTTCAGTGTTTAAATGTCTGCTTATTTATTTGTGTGTGCGAGTATTTTGCCTGCATGTCTGTCTGTGCACCATGTGTGTACAGAGCCCACAGAAATCATGTGAGTGGACCTGTTGTGAGCCACCATGTGGTTGCTGGGAACCTAACCCTGGTCCTCTGCAAGAGCAGCTGTTGTTCTAATGGCTTTCTCCAGGCCCCGAATCCCCTATTATGAAACTACTAAAGACATACAAAAGTAGATAGAATAATGTCACCTCATTATAGCGATGCTGCCGGCCCTGCCCTGCCTACCCTGTCCCCGGGGCTGTGATACTCACTTCTGCACAATAATCCTCTTGGACTGGTCACAGCCAATTGAAATGAGTGTGGTCTGCAAGGGACAGAGGCGGAGAGGTGGTCAAACAAGCCATGAAGAGCCACCGTCAGCCCTGCTGCCGAGGAACACTGTCTAGGAAACATTCCCAAGCCTGATTCCCACACAGTGGCTCTCGGTGTCAAGTCGAGGCTCTATCCACAGCAAACACCTAGCTCTTCATCCCCGCCCTCAAAAGCACACAGTGCCCCACACTGGGATTATGGTAAGAACTGTGTTCCTTTTTCTGGCTGAATAATATCAACCGGATGAATGGGCCACGCTCTCCCCATCCGTCTGCTGGTTCCCACGGCCACCCACTGCGAATGACGCAGCTGTGGATGAAGGACGCATAAGTTCTTGCATGCAGGCATTTCATTTTCAAGTCTCTGGAAGCACCTAAAACAGTGGGTCTTAATCTGTGGGTCGCAACCCCATGGTGTAAAACAATTCTTTCACAGGGGTCACCTGAGACCACTGGAAAAAACACAGGTATTTATATTATGATTCATGACAGGAGAAAAATTACACTTATGAAATAGCAATGAAAATAATTGAATGGTTGGGGTCACCACAACATGAGGAGCTGTTAAAGGGTCTCAGCGTCTGGGAGGATGAAAACCACTGATCTAGAAGCTCTAGTTCCTCAAATTGGCCAGAGAAAATTCTAGAGATGCCCAGTGAGAAAGAGCACTTCCCCCAGAGGGTTGTGAGGGATTCCCTGAGATGGCAACAGTGACCCCAGCAATCAGGACATCAGTGTCATTTCTGAACCAGAGTCCACCCAGGGTGGTGGGACCAGCTCTGAGACTCGGCACATACCAGGGGCTTCAGGTCCACACACGCCAGTGTCTTGTCAGCTATGTCCACGGTCAAGGAGGAGACGCTGTGATGCTTGATGCTGCGAAGCAACAGGGACACTAGGGATGGAAGGTCTGCATTATGGTGATGCTGGCGCGCTCACCCTGCTGACCATCCATTCGCATGCCCAGGTACTTCCCCATCCTCTGCTGTCCACCTGCCGGTACCTGCCGTGAATACTTTTGGCTGTCAACTTGACACAGTCAGGAAAAGGGAACTTCAGCTGAGATTTTGCCACATCAGATTGGCCAGTGTGGCATTTACTTGATTAGTGATTGATGTGGGAAGCTTCAGCAGATAGTGGGGCCACCCCTCAGTGGGTGGTCCTGGTTGTATAAGAAAGCAGCCTGGGCTGAAGATACGGCTCATAGGCTGGGCTCCCAACCAAGTATATAAGAAATCAGGCTGACAAACACTTTTTATGAGGCTACAATTACCATGATACCCAAACCACAAAAAGACAATACTAAGAAAGAGAATTACAGACCAATCTCACTTATGAACATTGATGTAAAAATACTAAATAAAATACTGGCAAATTGAATCCAAGAACACATCAGAACCATCATTCACCATGATCAAGTAGGCTTCATCCCAGAGATGCAGGGCTGGTTAAACATACGAAAATCTGTCAACGTAATCCACCATATAAACAAACTGAAAAATAAAAACCACATGATCATCTCATTAGATGCTGAAAAAGCAATTGACAAAATACAACATTCCTTCATGATAAAGGTCTTTGGAGAGAGCAGGGATACAAGGAACATACCTAGACATAATTAAGGCAATATACAGCAAGCCAACAGCCAACATCAAACTAAATGGAGAGAAACTCCCAGCGATTCCACTGAAATCAGGAACAAGACAAGGTTGTCCACTCTGTCCATACCTATTCAATATAGTTCTTAAGGTCCTAGCTAGAACAATAAGACACCAAAGAGAGATCAAGGGATACAAATTGAAAAAGAAGAAGTCAAACTCTCACTGTGATATGATATGATAGTTTACATAAGTGATCCCAAAAATTCTACCAAGGAACTTCTACAACTCATAAACACTTTCAGCAATGCAGCAGGATACAAGATTAACCCCCAAAAAAATCAGTAGCCCTCCTGTACACAGATGATAAAAGGGATGGGGAAGAAATCAGAGAATCAACACCCTTCACAATAGCCACAAATAGCATAAAATATCTCAGAGTAACTCTAACCAAACAAGTGGAAGACTTGTATGACATATGACAAGAACTTTAAATCTTTGAAGAAAGAAATTGAAGAAGACACAAGAAAGTAGAAAGACCTCCCATGCTCTTGAGTAGGCAGAATTAACATAGGAAAAATGGCAATCTTACCAAAAGCAATCTATAGATTCAATGCAATGCCCATCAAAATCCCAGCAAAATTCTTCAAAGACCTCAAAAGAACGGTACTCAACTTCATTTGGAAAAGCAAAAAACCCAGGATAGCCAAAACAATCCTGGACAATAAAAGAACTTTTGGAGGCATCACAATACCTGACATCAAACTCTACTACAGAGCTACAGTACTGAAAACAGCCTGGTATTGGCATAATAACAGACAGGAGGACCAATGGAACCAAATAGAAGACCTGGATATCAATACACACATCTTCAAACACCTGATCTTTGATAAAGAAGCAAAAAACATCAAATGGAAAAAAGAAAGCACATTTAACATGTGGTGCTGGCATAACTGGATACCAACATGTAGAAGAATGAAAATAGACCCATATCTATCACCATGCACAAAACTCAAGTCCAAATGAATCAAAAACCATAAAGACAGCCATACTGAGCTTTATAGAAGAGAAAGTGGGAAGTACACTTGAACACATTGGCACAGGGAACCACTTCCAAAATAGAACCCCAGCAGCACAGACACTGAGAGAAACCATTAATAAATGGGACCTCCTGAAACTGAAAAACTTCTGTAAAGCAAAGGACACGGTCAACAAGACAAAATGACAACCTACCGAATGGGAAAAGATCACTAACCCCACATCAGACAGAGGTCTGATCTCCAAAAATATACAAAGAACTCAAAAAATTGGACACCGAAAGATCACATAATTCAATAAAAAAATTTAGTACTAAACAGAGAACTCTCAACAGAGGAATGTAAAATGGCTGAAAGACACTTAAGGAAATGTTCAACATCCTTAATCATCAGAGAAATGCAAATCAAAACAACTCTGAGATGCCATCTTACACCTGTAAAAATGGCCAAGATCAAAAACACTGATGACAACTCAGGCTGGAGAGGTTGTGGGAAAAGGGAACATTCCTGCATTGCTGGTGGGAGTGCAAGCTGGTACAGCCCCTTTAGATGTCAGTGTGGCGATTTCTCAGAAAATTAGGAAACAACCTTCCTCAAGACCTAATAATACCACTTCTGGGTATATATCCAAAGGATGCTCAATCGTGCCACAAGGACATGCGCTCAACTATGTTCATAGCAGCTTTGTTTGTCATAGCCAGAACCTAGAAACAACCTAAATGTCCGTCAATCAAAGAATGGATAAGGAAAATGTGGTACATTTACACAATGGAGTACTACACAGCAGGAAAAATAATGACAGCTTGAATTTTGCAGGAAAATGGATGGAACTAGAAAACATTATTTTGAGTAACCCAGACACAGAAAGACAATTATTACATGTACTCACTCATAGGTGGTTTTTAAACATAAAGCAAAGAAAACCAGCCTACAAATCACAATCCCAGAGAACCTAGTCAACAATGAGGACACTAAGAGAGACTTACATAGATCTAATCTACATGAGAAGTAGAAAGTAGAAAAAGACAAGATCTCCTGAGTAAATTAGGAGCATGGGGACCTTGGGAGAGGATTGAAAGGGGGAGGGGAGAGACAGGGAGGGGAGCAGAGAAAAATGTAGAGCTCAATAACTATCAATAAAATAAAATAAAAGATAAATATTATAAGTAACTGCATTAAAAAAAAACCCACAATGTACTTACAGGCCCACTCCAAATTAAATGCTATGGTAACATGAAAAAAAAAAAAAAGCTGGCTGAGTGCTGGACTGTGGTGGGCACCTTTTATCCCAGCACTCTGATGGCAGAGGCAGGGGGATCTCTGTTGAGTTCGAAGCCATCCTGGTCTTGAGTTCCAGCATGAGTTCCACGATAGCCAGGGCTGTTACGCAGAGACACCATCTCAGAAAAACAAAAACCCAAACAAACAAACAAAACCAAAAGCAGGCTGAGTTCCCAGGCGCAGCCCGGAAGCTATGCTCCTGTATGGCTTCTGCATCAGTCCCTGTCTTCAGATTCTTCCTCGGCTTCCCTCGAGGATGGACTGTGATCAGTCCGCGTAAGCCAAATAAACCCTTTCCTCTCCAAGTTCCTTTTGGTCATGGTGTCTCCCACAGTATTCGAGAGCGGACTATGATACCATGCCGACACACACAGACACACACATACTCATCAGCGCAGGCTAACCTCAAACTCTTGACCTTCCTGCTCCCACTTCTCCAGGGCTGAGACCACGGCCACATGCCGTGACACTCAGGACCTGAGGTGCTGGGCCTGGGACCCAGAGTTGCCGGCTTCCTGGGCGACTGCTCCCCAGCTCTAGGCCCTGTCCCCATGGAGAACTTAGGCTAATGTGATCACAGTGTTCCAGAGGTAGTATTGGAACTCAGCCCTACTTCTCCCACCGTGGCTCCGGGAAACCCTGTAGGTAGGAGCAGGGACGACCCTCAAGCCCTGAGACCGTCAGTACCTGGAGGTGAAGTTAATGTCCGCGTTTTCCCAGTGGTGCTGCTGTCGGAGTTCAATTTCCTGCAGCAGCGGCAGAGACAGCAACAGACAGACACACAGAGAGACAGCCATTTGCAGCAGGGATCCGCACAGATGTCACCCCCAAATGGGAGGGGGCTAGTAAGAGAAGGGTGACTGGTGGGCCCATCAGCTGTCCAGCCCCACTATGTATTATTCCTATGTCATAGGGAAACCTTCTCTACACTCTCATGGCCCAATCCTTGGTCTCCCCTATGAGTTGCAACTTTGTCCGCCCCTCACTGACATCTCACATCACGAGAATTGCCTGAAGTGTGGGTGTGGCTGAGTCCTACCTGCTCAGGTGACATCGTGTAGACTGATCCTCGGGATCACAGGCAAGTCCTGCCATGACTCTGAGGCAGACAGGTGCAGGGGGACAACTGGCCCCCTACCTGGTCCCTGACTGGAACTCAGATAGCTCAGTTCTCACCCTCCCTGTACCTGGTGCACCCCAGCCTCTCCTGTGTGACAGTGTGTGTGTGTGTGTGTGTGGTGGCTGCCTGTCAGGGCAGAGGAGTCAGGGCACAAAGGAAATGCTGGCATGGAGGGTCAGGTGTTAGTGGTACACTCCCCGCGTCCAGCCCTTAGGAAGCCATCGTGGGATAACATATTCTATGGCTTCCCTGGCCTACAGAGGGACACTGCGTCTCGCTAACACTAAACAAAACAAAACAAACAAAAAAGCAGTGCCCGGGGTGTTATTGGGATTTGGTCAAGGCCCCCGCCATGGCCACAGACACACACCAATTTGTGCTTAATGTTGCCGTCGAACGTGTTGCCAAATTCACTGGTGTGTGCTTCGAAGCCCAGGGAGTGAGGGTTGCTGACCATCACCTAAGACATAACACACAGACAGCTGTCCCTCTGTGACAGATACCCAGGGGAACCCTATCCACCCTCAGACCAGACAAGCTGTGTATGCACACAAGCTTCTGGGTTGTAGCACATCACCGGGAATATCTGCCTATCAGCTGCAGCCTCAGAAACTGAGACCACTGAGCTGCAAGACATAGCAGGATGTCACGAACAACAGGGAGAGTGGGGGTTGTTGGAAGAACCCGGAGTGGCAGAAGGAAGAGACAAAGAGAGAGATGGAGGAGGAGATGGAGGAAGAGATGCTGGAGAAGGAGGACATGGAGAAGACAGAGGAGGAGATGGAGGAGGAGATGGAGGAAGTGGAGGAGAAGGTGGAGATGGGGGATGAGATGGACAAGGGAGGTAAGGAAGGAAGAGGGAGAAAAGAAGGAAGAGAAATAGGAATGTGGAGGGGGCAGAGAGAAGAGAGGAAGTTTCAACAAACAAGGACTTCTGGGGTTGTGGCCTGGCAGCACTGTGGAGGATGGAGCCTGTGGTCCAGGCTGGAGAGTGCAGGCTGGCCTATACTCACCAGTGGTATGGGGGTCTTTCCCCGCCGGGGTATCATGAGGGCGGACAGATCCAGCTTGGTGTTCATGTCTATTGTGAACATTTTATTTACCATGGTGCTTTCTAGAACCTCCACCTGGGGAAGAGGATGGGACATAAGGAAATACTGTTCCCAGCCCCGTCTCCAGAAGCAAAGGACAAGTGGGCTATGTGGCATATTAGGGACAGAATTTTATCCTCATGCTGAGAGCCATGGCTGGACCCTGTGTCCCCAGAGAACCTGATGTAGACAAGCATCTCCACCACACTTTTACAGGAACCAAGTCCTTCCAGAATGCTGTCGTCTTCAGTCTCTTCTTCTTCCTCTTCTTCCTCCTCCTCCTTTTTTTTTTCATGTATCTTGCAATATGGGGGAACTAAACCTGTACTCTGATATTTGCTAAGCAGCTGCTCCAAACTGACCAGGCCCCCAGCCCCTAACTGGGGGATTCTGGGCGGGGCTCCATTCTGACCATGCCCCCCAGCCCTTCACTGGGGGAATTCTAGGCGGGGCTCCACCCTGACCATGCCCCAGCCTCATATTCACTTTTTCTTTTAACACAAGGTCTTGCTGAGTTGCACAGGCTGAGTGGAACTTGAAATCCTTTTACTGCAACCTCCCAAGGAAGTAGAATGACGGACCTCTACCACCATCTCTTGCTCAAGTTTTCTCTCTCCGATTCCCCTACTCTAAAGGCAGAGATGGGCTCAGGGATTGGCTTACTGGACCATGACTCTCCTCCATTGTATGAGGTCCTAGGTGGCATCCGCAGTGCCACCAGCTACCCACCCCGGAAAGAAATAACCACAAAGGTCACTGGGAACTGACTTAGATCACGGAGTCACCTACATTACACGGCTCAATATCCAACTTGGGGTTCATGAGAACGGCCTGCACGTTCACAGTGCACTTCTCGAAGTCAAAGGCTGCGCCCTTTGGGTCCTGCACTGGCGTGAGAAACTCCAGCATGCCAGTGTCCGTGAAGGAGAGGCCCATTAGTGAATTCCAGGAAGGTGGATTCGGCAGCTGCAAGCAAAGCCAGGTCTGAGGCCCAACCCTCGCCTTCCTGCTTTTCTTTTTGTTTTGTTTCTTTCCACGGGGTCTTAGTAGCCCCAGAAGGCCTCACAAACACAGAAATCCTCCTATTTCAACCCTCCCGAGAACTGGGGATGAAGAGCAGACTCAGCATAACATGCCCAGCCTACTACTTTAAAAAACAAAATGTTATTCTATTTACTTATTGTATGCAAGCTCACACAGTGCAGGGCAGAGGACAACTGGTCAGGAAGCAGCTCTCCCGTCCACCAGGTGGGTCCCAGGCTTCATACTCAGGTCATCAGGCTTGGTGGTGGGGGCCGTTGTGATCTCCCGCCACCCCCACCCCCCCGCCCCCGCCCAGGCTCTGGTTGCTGTTTGTGTGCGAATGTAACGCTGCTTGGGATGGAACCTTAGCCACAGCGAGCATCCTCTTTCTCCAGAGCAACAAGCCAGTGGCTTCATATGTATATTTCACTGCTTTTCTTTGTTCTGTTTTGTGGCTCTGGGGGTTTGAACTTGAGACCTGGTGCTGAATAATTTGTTTGTAACTGTGTAGGGTAGGTCACAGTGGGTAGAAGTGTTCACCTAGCATGCATACAGCCCTGGATTCCATGTGCAGAATTCCCCAAAACTGGGCATGGTGGTGCCTGCCTACCATTGGAGCACTCTCAGGGATGGGAACTACACTGTTATCCTCGGCTATCAGTGGAGTTCCAGTCCAGCCTTAGCTCCACGAGGCCTGGCCTCAAAACAAAACATTTCCCTAGTGGGATGCTCAGGCTTCGACGAGGGACTAGGGCCTAAGAAGGAAGGCTCACATCACAGCTGTGGCTGAGGACCCAGACATACTTGGATCACGGAGGTTTTCAGGTAACTCTGACTTCCGTAGTACAGCTGATTGCTGTGTGTGAACACCGCCAACTCGAAAATATCTGGGAAAGAAAAAGCAGAAGCAAAGATGAGGTCGGGCTCTGGGAAAGGAGCAAAGCCAAGGGGCTGGCGAGGTGTCAGCAGGTACAGATACTCGCTCCCAAGCCTGAAGACCTAAGTTCAGTTCCCGGGACCCACATAACGGAAGGCTAGACTCAACTTGCATAGGTCTTCTGACCTCCACACACTCACCCAGGTGCACATGCAAACATCTTCACACCCACAGCTGCAATAAGTAAGCAGACAGCGGGGCTGGAGAGATGGCCTGCTCTTCCAAAGGTCCTGAGTTCAATTCCCAGCAACCGCATGGTGGCTCACAACCATCTGTAATAAGGTCTGGTGCCCTCTTCGGGCCTGCAGGCATACACACAGATAGACTATTGTATACATAACAAATAAATAAATAAATATTTTTTTAAAAAAAGAAACAAACAACAAACAGCGAAAGTCAAAGATCAGTTATCCCCCCCTCACCGCAACCCCACCCAGCATCAGGGGGTCACAGGCCAATCACAGCCAAGCTGAGGAGTGGGATCCTGGGTGGGGGGTGGGGGCTGAAGTTAGGCAAGAGGCTTGATAAAAGCAAACTGCCAGCAACAATTCGGCCACATACTCGAGGCAACGCTGTGGACGGTGAAGCCACCGGAGGAGGAGATATCGGTGAAGAGAAGTCTCTTTCCTTTCCACAGCTCTACGGCCTGCATGATCTGGCCTAGGAGGGGACAGGTAGACAATTATGACATGTGTCCCGTGCAAACGCACCATGCCTCTGTGCCTCCCTGCATGGCCCCCACACCGTGTCTCCTTTGCCTTCACTGAGTTTTTATGATTTGTCTTTGGTTTGCCATTCAAAAACCCAAGGAGAGAAACTGAGTAGACACCTGATTGTTCAAACCCCAGAAAACACGTGGGCTCTGGGAAAGGCGACCCATCTGAGTCTCTTTGGTAATGGAGCTCTGAAAAGTGACAACTGGACCCAACAGAGAGCAAATGCTCTGTGTTCATGAAGGGGACGCCACAAGGCAAATCTACCAAGAATAAAACTGCCTCAAGGCTGATGACCAATCAGCAAGGTGTGGTGTGTGTGCACACGTGCACGTGTGTTTGTGTGTGCGTGCATGTATGTGTGTGTGCGTGTATGTATGTGTATGTGAGTGCATGTGTGTGTGTGCACGTGTATAGGTGCATGTGCGTGCGTGTATGTGTGTATATGTGCGTGTGTGTGTTTGTGTGTGTGTGTATGTGTGTGTGTGTGCATGCATATGGATCTCTGATGTCAAGGAAACTAAAACCTAGGAGAGGAGGAGCACCCAGGAGGTTCCAGACTTCTAGGCCTGCCTGGGTTACAGAATGACCTCAAGGCTAACCTAGTCAACTTAGTGAGATTCTATACCAAATTAATTTAAGAGGCTGGGGGCATAGTGAGGGGTGGAGCCCCACCTAGAATCCCCTCCCTCCCCCTTACCCCCTGAGGGGCTAGGGGCGTGGTCAGGGTGTAGCACCTGCCTAGAATCTCCAGTGAGGGGCTGGGGGCGTGGTCAGGGTGGAGCCCCTGCCTAGAATCCCCACTGAGGGGCTGGGGGCATGGTCAGGGTGGAGCCCCGCCTGCCTTCAGACCTTCACAGCATCTCTCTAAAAGTCTAGCCCAGTTTGTAATCCTAGCAGTAAGGAGGCAGAAACAGGGGGATCCCTGGGACTTGCTGACCATTCCCAGGTTGGGTAAAATTATATTCTTTGAAAATGAAGGAAATAATTGAGCACTTGATGGGCACCTCTGGCCTCCTTGTGCACATACAAATATCTGGGGTCTCCAGTCTAAATCAATCCCCGCTGGTGGAGGTCAAGGTGGGGTGTGGCTCACCTGCATTGGGGGACACCATCAGACTTAACTGACCATAGAGGAACAGAAAACCCGTCTGGCCTGGCTTGATGATGACGTCAAGATATTCATTGTACTTAAAAGGTATCCCTTCACTGTTGTTCAGGGGGTGCTCCAGGTAGTAAAATGTACCCTGAGGTAAGAGACGCAACCAAGTCACTGTGGCCCAAATCCACTGGGACAATCCTGCTCAGTTCAACCAGCACCCTCAAGTGGTATTAAGGCAGGGACTTCGAGAGGTCAAGGACATTGCCCAGCCTCAGCCCTCCCGTGATCCTCAAAGACCTTCCCCAGTGTCTGACTAAGGGGGAAGTAATGGAGAGTAGTTCTTATTAAGAATTAAAAAATATTAATGATTAAAATTATTAAGAATTAAATACATATTGTATGCATGTATGCGTGTGTGTGTGTGTGTGTGTGTGTGTGTGTATGGGGTATGTGCATATGAGTGCAAGTACCCACAGAGGCCAGGGGAAACTGGAGTTATGGGTGCATGTGAGTCACCCAGTATAGATGCTGAGAACTGAATTCAAGTCCTCTTCAAGACTGGAAATCCACACTAACTGTCAGCTGAGCCACCTCTCCGGCCCTGAGGGTCAGTGGAAGTCACTGAGAAGATCAGCCTCCGTGCACCCTGGGGAGGGAGTATTTGGCCTCTGGGTTTGAACGTGGGGGAAGTGTGCTGATTAGAGAGTAATGGAGGCAGGGAGATCCAGCCACCATGGGCGGTGTCATTCCCTAGGTAGGTAGTTTTAGGCATCTAAGAAAGCTGAGCAAGAACAAGCCAGCAAGCAGCTCACTGAAATATGCTTCTGCCCTGAGTTCCAAACATGACTTTTCTTGGTGACGAATTGTGTGACCCAGGAGTGTAGCCAGATAAACCCTTTCCTCCCTGTCTCAGTTAGGGTTTCTATTGCTGTGAAGAGACACCATGACCACAGAAACTCTTCTAAAGGAAATTAATTGCTTGCTTACAGTTCAGAGGTTTAGTCCATTGTTATAGCAGGAAGCATGGTGGCATGTAGGTAGATGTGGTGCTGGAGAAGGAGCTGAGGGGTCTTACATCTTGACCCGTGGGCAACAGGAAGCCACCTGACTCACTGGGCATAACTTGAGTATATATGAGACCTCAAAGACCCGCCTACACAGTGACACACTTCCTCCAACAAGGCCACACCTCCTAAAAGTGTCACTCCCTTTGGGAGGGGCAAACCACCACACCCCTAAAATGGCTTTTGGTCAAAGTGTTTGCCACAGCTATAGAAGGAAACTGGAAAGGAAGCAAGCTCCTCCCCCTGCATAGTCTGTGCCCTAGGGGAGCGATAGGGCAGGATATTGGGGAGGGGGTCCATGATGGCTCTGTGAGATGGCATTTGGGGTTAGCTGGAATGTAGAGGCAGTGAGGAAGCTCCAGGCACCTGAAGTACACCCACAGCCCTGAGGCTGAGAAAGCTGGAAGTAGGCCTGCCCTGGGAACACCCTGCTCCCTTCCAGGGCAGTCTGGATGCTATTCTCTCTGCACAGGTTCGCCTTCTGGAGTGGGAGACTGACAACTTTGACAAGAAGGACATTGGTTAGCTGTGATTTGTGTATGGTGTCCCAGGAGAGGGAATCTAGAGAGCACTGCTGCTCTGGGCACCGGGCACTGCTGACATATGCTGCAGACAAACACACTGGCAAATACTCATATAT